TATCGGTCCTCCTATATGACTGTGAATGTTGTGCAATCCCATCACAGATGCAGAAAATACACGAGGCAACAGAAATGTGGTTTTACAGAAGGAGGCTAAGAATATGTTCTGTAGAAAGGCGACAGGACCTTCATATGAAGTCTTTCATTGGTTGTGAAAATAGTCTCACAGCACTAAGATATCCAATCGTATTTTAATATTAATCCATGTAATTGAAAAGTTCTTTTCACTAATCTTTTGTCCAAGTGTTTTTTTTTCTTTAGAATATTAAGCCGACCTAAAAATTCATACGAGCATTATAACTGGAAACAAGAATTCGAAACTGATGTTTTGGGGAAAATAATTATTCTGACGTGGTCAACCAAGGATTTCATTAACGTACAATATGGAGGACATATGGAGACATAATAAATAAATTACAATAATATGGAGGACATAATAATTAACGTACAATAATATAGAGAACATAATAATTGTATTAAAACAGTTATTGGAACAATAGTAAAAACAAGTATTGGAACATCAAACGATCATGTTTGAAGCCATGTTGAAAAAATAGTACTAACGAGGTCGCAAACTTCATTGGCGAATTTGTATATAGTGATTTTTCAAGCGTAGTTTAGATGTAGCGCAAGGCCGAAAGTAAGGAGCACCAAGTGAGGATCGAACTCACTACTCAATCGTAATTGTTCTAGCGAGACAAGCTTGCTAACCATTACACTGCTTTGGGGTGGCCTTGGTGAATTTGTATATAACCCTGGAGAAGGTGTTACGCTTTAGTCGTACTAGAGAAGATATGAAAAAGTCTTAATGATTGCCAGGACTGGCCAGAGGAAAAAAAAGGTACGTCAATGTTAAGAAAATTGGGCCCATCAGAGCACGAAAAATATATTTTACCTGAAAAACCAGGAAATATTACGTTTGAGAAAAGCGTTAATTTTGGCTAAAACTTTCAGTGAAAGAAGGTCCTTATTATGTAATACTTTGGCAATGCTTAAATATCACGTAAGATGACGAAGATTGTATTACTTTTGCTGGCATTATTAATCGCTGACGTGGAAGATTTAAACTAAACAATTTCCAGATATGTCTAAATGTTTAATTTTGTGAAAGGGATTAACTCCAAATAAAGATGCACAAATTCGTTCACTCATTTTAACAAAACCTGAACAGGTTTCAAAATTAACCCTACAGACAGTGGCTGGAGAATGTCAAAGAATACTAAATTTAACACCCGATGCTGCAAAAAATTAAAAAAAGGTATATTCTACAAGTGCAGACTGTGCGACCAAAGGACAAAAAAGAAGAAAAACAATGACTACACCGAACCCGTTTAATAGTTGCGGGGTGGGGGGTGTTGGGGAGATTTCATTTTAAAGCAAATTTCTCATTCAAAAATAAAGTGTTTTAAATGTCAAAAAATAGGATATATACAAAATCATTACAAATCAAATCAAAGAAAAATACAAGATATTTTAATACAGTAAAAGTTGTATTGACAACTCAAATTCTGTATGAGGCCCAGAACAAAAAAATGTAAAGGTTAAAATGAATAACCTTGAAGTAATGAGTAACGTTGGACACAGGCAATGACATTACAATAATTCATGAAAAAACTTGGACAAATATTAGTCAACCTAAGCGAAAACCCCCAAATCTGCACGTAGTGTTTCGGGTTAAAATTATATTTTCGAGGCGAAATTGTATGTAATGTCTCATGTGTCGGTAGAACTTTAAAAATTAAGGCATTCGTATTAGATAAAAATAATACGTTGAACTTATTGGGCGCGGACTTAACGTAACTGTTCGATTTGTGGAGTCTGCCCGTAAATTTGTTCTGTAAAAAAGTGAATAGCCTCTCTTCTAAAACAAGTATGGCGACTGAAAATTTTGCAAAGGAGTTAAAAAAGAAATTTCCTGCAATGTTCTCTGAAGGTCTTTGAAAATGTACAAAGTCGAAGGCAAGTTTTCAGTTAAAGGAAAATGTATTTCCTGTGTTTAGGTTTAAACACAGGAAACAGTGTGCCATTTGTAGTTGTGGAACTCATTAACAAAGAACTTGACAGATTAGAAGCTCTGAGTTATTTCACCGAGATTATTCAACAGTGTATGTAAAAACAAAAAAAAAAACAATAATAATAATAATGTTCGGGTATGCGTAGATTTTTCTCCAGGATTAAATGAATGTCTAATACCTCAAACACACCCGTTACCATCTCCAGAATATTTTTCTAAATTAAAAAAAAAAAAGTTTAATTTTAAAAAATTGGATGTCAGACGCATATCTACAAATTGAAGTAGATGAAAAATGTAAAAATTATTAACAATTAACACACAAAAATCTATACAGTTTTAATAGATTACCGTTCAGAGTCAATGTGACACCTAGAATTTTTCATCAAGTAATGGATACGATGCGAGCTGGCTTAGATTTTTTCTGTTGCATATTTGAACGACGTACTCATAAAAAGCAAAACTAAGCGGCAACATTCCGGACACATGCAACAGGTATTCCAGATAATTGAGGAATACGGGTTCAATCTCGCTGAGGAGAAATGTCAGATTTTCAGGAATAAAAATTACTTGGACAAATAACTGATGCAAATGAGTGTAGGCCACACCCGTCAAGGATGAGTGCTATTAAAAATATGCCTGCTTCCACAAAAGTTGCTACTTTACAATTATTCCTAGTGCTCGCAAGCTATTACAGTCTTTGTTCCAAACATGCATAAATTGAGACCGCCTTGAAATAAGATATTGGAAAAAAGGTGGGGTGTGAAATTGGTCCGACGAATGCCAAATATCTCTTGAAGAAAAAGAACAGGTTAACATCTGAATTATTATCGTTAATGTATTTCAATCCTGATTTTGAAATAATTGTAGCATCAGATGCTAGCGATTATGGAGCAAATATTTGTCATAAATTCAGGAGCAGTTGTCCATGCATCTAGAATAATAATAGGGGCTGAAAAAAAATTAAAGCCAAATCGAAGAGGAAGGACTAGCTATCATTTTTGCAGTCGAAATAATTTCATAAAATGATATGAGAGGAAATTTAATCTGCAAACCAATCTTCGTCCATTACTATTTTGGGTTCAAAGGAATGGATTCCGACACATACTGCCGACAGTTTGCAACGTTGAGGGGAACAATTTTACTGAATTATGATTAAGATGGCATATTTACCATCAAAGAAATTGGGACATGCGGGTGGGTTATCTAGGTTAATCCCCAAATTTAAAGAACCGTTTGAGGAGAATGTGATCGCTTCTCTAATTTTAGAAAATTAATTAAGTGTTTTGCGTAACACAATAAGCCATGACTTTGAATGAAATTAAAATAAAATCCAAGAAGGATGACTGCATTTTGAAAATTATGAATGAAGTAAAAGTAAGATGGAAAGAAAAAAAAACCCGGTGTTACTGAAAATAATAAGTCTTTTTCCATCTGTGATAAAGTACTGATGTATGCGGATAGAGTAATAATTCCTCCTGCCTTGCAAAAAAAGAATTTTAAAGCAGTCTCATTCTGGTGGTGTCAAGAATGAAATCCCTTATGAGAAGTTACGTATGTTGACCTAAAATGGACCAGATATCAAGTTATTTGTTACCTAACTAAAGGGTTATCTAACTGAAGATCGTTGCTAACATTTAGTCCTCCGATGCCTATCTGATCAACGTAGGTATCCCCCAAGACTCGCTTTTCGGTCCAACTCTCTTTCTACTTCCCATTAATTATCTACCTGAGGGCGTACGCTGATCGTTTGCGGAAATCTATGCTAATGGTACAACAATATATGGGTGCACCTCCAAAACCCTCAATGACCAGATCTTGGCAACTGATCTCTCCTCTGGCCGAGCTTTAACAGATCAATGGGAGAAAAACTGGCTAGTCACATTCAGTGCCTCAAAAACCAAGTTAGTGACATTCCACTATCATCAATCGGAGCCAGAATGTTCCTTCAGGTGGGGGAGGGCTACGTGCTTTAGGCGCCTATTGGGATAAACTCAACAAAAAAACTCAAGTGGAATTCATGCATACAAAGGTTGTTAAAGGTGCGACATAAAGGGTTACTGCACAAGCTGTCTAGCTATGGCAGAGTCTTCCCAATGATAAAGTCCTTTCTAACGAGTAGGCCCCTGAAGGTAATTGTTAACTGACAGTCCGCCAAGGCCCAAGAAATCAACACAGGTACACCTGAAGGTTTACTTCTCAGTAAACCCTCTTTCTATTTTACATAAATGATCTGCCTAAGAGTATACTTTGATCATTTTTGAATATCTATGCTAAAGATACAACGATATATGGGTGTACCTCCAAAACCCTCAATGACCAGAGCTTGGCAACTGATCTCTCCTCTGGTCGAGCTTTAACAGATCAATGGGAGAAAAACTGGCTAGTCACATTCAATGTCACAAAAACCTAACTAGTGACGTTCCTCGTTACCAAGTAGACCCTGAATTTTCACATATTGCGATCGCGATGAATGCGTGTTATCTTGGGGAGGTCCCGATCATTGAACGCCTATTGAAATTTGAGCTCAACTCAAAGCTCAAATGGAACTCGTCCATACGATCCATCGCTAAAGATGCTGGAAAAATGGTCGGTCCCTGTACCGCTCCAGTAAGAATCTGATTCCTCATACTATTCTCTATCTTTATAAGAGCTAGATAAAGCCAAAAGCGTTTATGTGGCCTTGTGAGTGATTGTTTACTACTCACAGACGAAACGTCCAAAGCCTTTCTCTACTCTATCGGTGTCACCATTGACAGTGTTCAGATAAAATACATTACTTAGATCCACCAGTTCTAGCCATTACATCTAAGACCCGCCATACCACACAACTTGTAGCGAACCAACCTCACTCTTTTCGTATCCCATTGGTGAGATATAAATTCCACACGAGCAGCTTCTTCCCGCGAGTCGCTGCTTTGTGGAACTGGCTCGCAAGAAGATGCTTCCCCGATCGCAAAAGTCTTAACCTGTTCAAATCTAAAGGCTTACGGCTACATCACGTTGAAACACAGGCCCCCGTACGATCACCAAAGTTAAACAACGTCGAGACTGGTCAGTACCTAGATAGGTGACCGCTTGGAAATGCTAGGTTCTGTAAGCGTGGATGTGCGGGTGGTATAATGGATAATGGCTCGGAATTGTTAATCGGAGATCCGAGTTCCAATTCCCGTTGATTTCGTTACATTCACTTCCGCGCAAATACCCTTGGTATGAATCCATCTGTAAGGATACAGAAAGTGCTTTGGTGGACATGTCACGTAGATCACATGACGATTGCTTCGGGACGTCAGTCCATACAGTAACCAAAGCGGCAGTCATTTTTCAGTTCTTGAACAGCAACCAAACGAGAAGGTTGCTTTCTGGGCCAAAGGCTAAATCTGCCTCCCCCAGCAGCTTACAAAAACATGGTGCCGTTTCCTTTTGGGATATAGATGAATCCAGTCCGTTTAAATCTGGGGTCCTAACAATAGCTTCTCCAGGTCAGGAGTATATCCAAATTTTATGTAAGACCTTTTCATTTTGTTCCTCCTCAGACTTTGCTTTGTTGTGTAGATATTTGTGATATTTAGTTATCTATATGGGATATGTGTATATATGTATGCATATATATATATATATATATATATATATATATATATATATATATATATATATATATATATATGTGTGTGTGTGTGTATACATATATATATATAGTTTTTGTGTATGTTTTGGTATTATAAACGTCTCTCTGAGAACAAAGCATGTTTGTCATTCTTTTTCCTTTCAGCCATTCCGTTCCATTCCATCCGTGAACTACGGTGTCATTATATCACGGATATAATAATGCCCATAACGGGAGAAACGTAAAAAGGAGAATAAATCTTTCTTCCTTAACTTAGCTCTCGTTACGCATCTTTTCTCCCTCAGTTATGGGTTAATTAGTAAGACTTGTATCACTAAAACATTATCATCTCCAAAAGAATTTATGGCTGTAAATAGCCTGAAAAGGGCTGATAAACCGTAGAAAACCGTTATCTTCCCCAAATATCTTTATAAACTGTGCGTCTTGCTTCGTAATCTGTAACCCTCTATCTCGAATGGCTACTGGGCCTTGTACAGTGTCAACATTATTTTTTTTAAATTGTATAAATAATTATGAACCCAAAATGTTTGTGCATGTAGTTCCAAAAAAATCCCATACTGAAAAACATTTATAAGATTTATTGAAAATTAAAAAAAAAAATGGCTAAGAATTAAGAAATAAAAAAATATGCAGATAAATGTTAGTACATTTTCAATCTGGACATTTATAAATAACAGCTAAGTGACTTAGCCGAAAGGGGCCAATAATTCTATAAAAGTGATCGATTTGGCACTATAAACTGGAACCCCTTGTCCTTGTACATCGATAAAGAATCAATATTTTTCGATTCTGGCAAGTGTCGCAACCTAAGAAAATCTAAAGAATGTTATTCTACACAAAAATTATTTCCTCAAAATGTTTCCTTGTTTGTTTTGTTTTTTTTATAAATGGACCAATGTATTTAAAATAAATAGTACCATAAATTGCCCACGAAGTGAACTGCTTATCATTGCTCCTGGCCAGGAGCGTTAGCCTGGATTCGTTTGACACCAGACTACGAAAGTCGAAACCACTACACAGACAGCGGAAAATGGTCTCGAAATTGAAAACCTAATGAAATAAATTAAACAAATTCAGGTTACCTCGACCTGGAGCGGTCGAGGTAACTTGAATTTGTTTAATTTATTTCGTTTGACATAATTAACGAGCATGTAATAAAACTCGAACATACACTTAATAATAGTCTTCGAAATGTATTTGCTAACCATTCCCTCGGTTTTGGGAATCACTATTCCTTATTTTTAAGAATACATCTAAGGGGAGACAACTAAGTTACATATCACAAGGACATTAGACTTACTTCCGACCGCCTCTTTCCTGTAGAAAAATCTGTCTGTCAACTAAGTTGCTGTTTTTATATCTTACAGTGTCTTCTCAAAGTAAACTCAAACAAAGGTAAGAAATAAATATTGATAGTAGAATTAACAAAAAATAAACGCACTTGATCGATTCCATTGTCTTTATTTTTACTATAAGGTGTTTAATTAGAACCATCTTTGCATCCAGGTAAAATTATTTTATCTTAAATTTCTTATTAATTAATTAAATGGACTTTTTTCACAACAATGTTTTGTCTTGTCCTCTGTTTTTTCGTTTACGTATTTAAAATATAATTAATTCGTCTAAAAAAAGAAAACAAATATTTGACCTCTCGTCTTTTCAGTTCTTTCTCAATAAGTTTGAATATCATTTTTGAAATTCAATGTTTATACAAATAAATTTAAATCAGATTTTTAAATTGATTTAGAGAGTAGTATATAATTTTATAAGAATTTATCATGTATTGAAATATTTTACTTATAGTTATTTTTTTATTTTCTCCGAAAATAAAAGCAGAATCGTTCATTCTCCTATCTTTTTTTACCTGTCCCAAGAAATATATTTTTTAATTTTTTTTATTAATATTATCTAGGCTAATGAGATTTTATTTCTAACAGAAACAACTATCCCCACCACCACTTAAATTTGAATTTTTCTAGTTAATTTTCACAAAATATTTTCAAAAATCTTTTTTTTTTTTAATTCTACATCGCGAAATATTTCTGAACGTGTAAAAATTTGAATGATTTTATTTTTGTTTTTGTCTCTAATTTCGAATAAATAAAATTAGCTTCACTTTTTTTAACAACGTTAGTTTTTTTTAGAATTTTTGGCCTCAATTATTATCATTTACTGGACAGCCTTTAAGAAAACTGGGGTAATTTATTCTAACCCCAGCAATTAAATTTCCAAATCAACAATGGCAAAATATTAATGAGGTAGTTTAAGTATTATACAAAAAAGTAAACTCGCGCGCATATTTACAAAAAGTGGAAATTTCTCTTCACCTTTCACAATGGTAATTAATAGTTTTACTTTTTACTTCAATTTTTTTTTTTTTTTTAGATTATTGTAAGATGTTCCTGTTTTTTATTTTATTATACAAAAAAAAAAAAAAAAAAATATTATTATGTTAAAAAAAAAAAAAATGAATGTTAAATTTATTTAAAACATGTGCGCACGAGTCCATTTTTGTGCAGTATTACCAATTCTGCCCCGGGGGACACAAAAAACCTTATCTCTAATCCTATCAAGGGGAATTTAATTAAAGTATTTCTTAATAAAAAAAAGAAAAGAAAGGACTACTTTGTAAAATTGGCAATAAAATTGCTACTGTTTTTTTTCTCAAGAGTGCCTAGTAAACGGTAGTTGGGCCGAAATGTAATTAATTTATTTATTTTTTTAAGGTAAATTTTTTAAGAAGAAATATTTAATAACATTTCCAAAGCTGATGTTTCTTCTATAAAATCACCTAAAAAAAAAAAAAAAAAAAAAAAAAAAAAAACTTAAATGCTGTTAAATTAAAAATAAATCATTTTTTGTATTATGAGACCCAGGTAAAAAACAAAAAAAAACTAAACTACGTAAAGTTAAGTCGATAAATAAACTTGGCTGCTCCTACATGGAGCCAGCTAATTTTCTTTTCTGTTAGTTTAAGTGGCTTATGATCTAATCTAATCGATATCGATTATTCACAAGATTAGAGTAACTTTCTGCAAGTTGTTATAGACATTTTTTTGTTGTCTCTAACTAACCGGTGAAAATGTTCCCAGAGAGAGAGAAACTCTTTTTAGTGACATATGTATAAAAATGGTTGGTTCAAGAAAGAGAGTCTCTCTCTCTCTAGGTAGAAAAACTAAATGTCCAGTACTTACTCAAATCCTTGACATCAGACCCTTTACGCGACGGTCAGCCACTAACTAAATCTCCTATCGATTATAATTGCAATCATAGTCCAGTTTCTGATTACAGATGCATTTGATTAAAAATTTATTTTAAAAAATGATTGCTATTATTTTATGTTGTTTTTATTTATTTATTTATTTATTTATTCATTTTTTTGAAGGTGGAGAAAAAAAAAACTAAACCTACAATAAAGTTATTATCTTTTACCAGGCTCTTTTTACATATTTTTCAAATCAAAATTTTAAATCCAATATATTTTTTTTATATTTGTAAAACAACTTTTTATGCGCAATATTTCGTTAATAAACCGCCATCCCCTTCCCCACCCCCGCTTCCAATGAACACCGACTCTGGAAAACTGTTTTCTGTCCTTTGTTGCTTTCATCAGTACTTTTCTCCATTATCGTCTTGTTTCTTTTAAAATTTTTGTCATGCTTTTTGTTTTTCTCGCTCCATTTTCTCAAACTTATCAGGTAAACTTCTTGTTGCTTTCCTCTGTTTTTCTTCTTGTCTTTAATCTGCCCTGTGAGTGTTGAATTCTCTATTCCTCATTATGCTGTCACTGATTATCAACAAAAATTCAGAAAATTAAATTATAATAAAATATATTAAATATAAGAAAATCTCTTTTCCATTAAAAATAAGTTTCGAGGATTTAATTCAATTTTTTTGTTAAAAAAAAAGTTTAAGGAGACAAAATAGCCATTAAATCCTACTGCTTTCCTACTGTAAATAATAGACTAGTCATGTTTTTTTTTTTTTTTTTTTTTTAGTTCCTATTCTTAAAACTTCCACACTTCACATAATTTGTCCATGGGATTCTTATCATTTGTCAGTAGGGCTACATCTTAACCACTTCACCTGTCTTTTTAATCAGTGAGTAAATTGTCCAGAATTCACTGCAATGTAGGTGGTTACATATTATCTAGCAGTTCTCTTTGTAATGTCATTTTTGAGTTTTTCACTACATCGTAACCCAGTTCCCGCACCTTCCTATTTCTATATTACATTTTCCAGTTCTAAACTATACCGATATTTGCATTTCTTGAATTAATTCACAAGAAACTTTCCAAAATTTGAATTGCTTTGTCTCTTTATGGGGGGGGGGATGAAATATTTTCTACCCTAAAGTTCCTGCAGACAAAACATTGCAAGCCTGTCACTGCTCTATTGCTTTTTCCATGGAAAGTGTTCAGTTCTATCCAAGACCTGCCATCCTTTGCACATTATAACCAAACCACCTTCTGCTGGTGAGATTAAGTTTCAGTTGAGCAGCTTCTTCCTTTAAACTACTTTGTGGAACTGACTCCCAAGAGGATGCTTCCTTGATCGCTATAATGTTAACCTGTTCAAGTATAGGGTTAACCATTATATTCCCCACATATTCACATAAGCTATATCACTTACTCTGTAACCCTCTACCTCGAACTGCTCTTGGGCCTTGTACAGGATGAATATTATTATATAAAGAAGAAAAATCTAATTTTGAATTTTTTTTTTTTTTTTTTAAATCCGGTGTAGTTAATAACTCTTTACAAATAATTTGCTTGAATAAAATAATTGAAAATTGGATAAACTTAAAAGAAAAAGGTAATTACATAAAACACACACTTGATCCACTCATACAGAAAAGCTATATATTGCATGAAATTCACTTTGAAAAGATGTACCCTTATGCTAAATTTCAGTTCCCAATGTGAATAAATTATGTCAAGTGACAGGGACAAGGTTAGAATATTAGTATTTTGATCATGATACCTGGGTTCAAACGTCACCATGGTCATTTTGTCAAGGGAGTGACTTCATGGTAAATAACAGCCTGGGGGAAAAGATACCAGCATATTGGCACTGTCGGGAAGTGCCTAAAAAAACATACTATAGGATTGGGTAGACGAAACTGTTTGGAAGCTGTCAGTGGTTGTGCTACCAAAAGGGCACAAAGTCATCATGACAAAGGGTTTGAGCATGCGGGCCTTGTTCAACTACTGATCATGCGAGATTTTGTACTCTTTTTCCAGAAACTGTAACTAATGTCTGCTCAGCTTGGTTGCAATATAAACCAAAGGTTGAATCTGTGGGCATTGAAGAAACACAAATGTGACTAAGCAGGTGTCTACAACAGGGATTTAGCTAGCCACCTTAGCTATATGATATGATGGCAAAGAAGTAACCAGCTATTCTCTCTTTTTTTTTTTTTTTTTTTTTTCAGCATGGAGTTATCTCCCTTGGACTAATAGTGCCAGGTGGTACTGTCATTTTTAGGACAATGGTGGATAGTTTCAAGATTTGTGTAAAACTTTTAATAATAATGACATAACCAAATATCAATTTTTTTTTTTTTTTATACCATTATTTTTATTTATTTTTATTTATAGCATTGGTAAACTAAATTTTTATATATATATATATATATATATATATATATATATATATATATATATATAGCGCCTTTCTTCCTGTCTGAATTTCTGCAATGAAGGGTTAGCATTATTTACACACAGACTTTTTATTTTAATCATTTCATTTCAAGCAAGGCAATAAAGCCATTAAAACACAATGGGTTACTGAGTGTTACAGAATATGAGAAAAATATACTAATAAGGAGAGAGGACAATAAAAGAACAAGAATAACTGATTGACAAAGTATTTATTTTTGAAGATTTAAGAAACTGGAAAGGCTTCCACAAGCAAGAAATGTGATAGAAGAAATTGTTAGCATAGAATTTAGTTAGATGTAGCCATTTCTATTGTAAAATGATAAGACCTTGTTGCCAATTTCTTACTGTGCTTAAATTTATAAAGTCTACGTACCACAGAGGATATTTCACCAGAACAATTATCATGAAAGTATCAAGGCACAGGGAAAATATGTTATGGTGGTGGGAAAGTGACTGAAGCTGAGATGCCAGGTCAGGACCAATAACATTGTAGATTCTTCTTTGGATTTTATCTTGCATCTCTAAATATATAGTAAGAGCACCAAACCAGATGTGGCAACAGTATTCAAAACATGGACAAATGGTAAACTTATAAATATGTAAGATAGATTCTAGAAAGAAAAATTATCAAATTTTTCTATTAGAATTTATTTATTGGTAATGCATATATAAATGGGCACGTGGCCAAGTGGTTAGAATGTTTGCATTCTGACCATGAGACCCGGGTTCAAATCTCACCTTGGTTGATTTGTCAGGTCTGGAGGTGGGGGACAATCCCAATGTGTGGCACCTTTGGAAAGTGCCTGAAAACCAACCCGAGCCTTGTGAATGAAATTGGGTAGACACAATCCTTGGGGGCCGTCAATAGCTGTACTAGCACAAAGTCACATGTTATCATGGCCAAGGGCTTGAGCATGCTGGCCTTGTTCAAATTGTTGATCACACTAGATAACACACTCTTTCCCAGAAACTATAACTAAGGTCTGCTCAGCATAGTTGCATTATAAACCATGGGTGGGCTTTGTGGATATTGAATAAACACAAATGTGCCTGAGCAAGCATCTGCAATTGGGATTGGCTAGCTGCTCTAGTAGACAGGTATGCTCGAATACGAGTGGCCAGTTGTACATACATACATACATAGAAGATAATCTTTCTTTCAGTCTGGATTTAGACTACATGCAGACAGTAATCTTTGTCTTTGTTGTTGTTATCACCACATTTTGGTGGTTGTGCCTTCCGCCCTTTCATCATGTAATTGTTGATCCAGATGACTTTTGGCATTCGTAGTAAGCTTTCTATTCTCCCAGACTCTCAGTCAGCCTGGCAAACATGGTGGCAGCTTGTCCAATCCGTTTGAACTTGGTGTTTCGGGAGCGGGTGTCTGAAATGTTTGGAACCAAGGTATGTAAATTTATGAAACATTTCCAGGTTTTAGTTGTTGATTTTGATTGCAGAAGGCTGTTCAATGCCTGAGCCCATCACATAGATTTTCTTCAGACTGATGGTCAGCCTTAACTCTTAGCAGACTTTTGAAAAATTGTTCCATGAGTCACTGCAGTTGCTCTTCTGCGTGTGCTGCATCATCTGCAGACAGCATGTTTCTAATAAGATCCTCATTGATTTCACATTCGACCAAACTGCAGTAAACTTACTGTAGCATTTACTGCCAGCAATTGGTTTCTTCTGTCTTTCATCTGCAACACTTGTAGCCAATTCAAAGTTCAAACGAAAATCTGTCTTAGCAGGTTTTTTTTTCTATTTTTCTATATTTACTGAATTTATTTTCTATCCACATGCAGTTTGTTTGCTACCAGTATCTATGTTGGATTAAGAAAGGATTCAGTTAGACATTCCAACCACAGCCGACCGTAATAAATATGGTGACAAAGATGAGGACAATAGTCTGAATAATGTAAATAGTGTACATAATACCTCATCTCTGAAATGTAGACAGATCATACTCAAGAAAAATGATTGTAAATTCCACAATCTTTTTTGTAGCTACATAGCATTTGCTTCACCAGGGCTACATACAGCTTTTTTAATTCTTACTAATTAATCCATAGCTGAAAGGAGAAGAGATGGATTTATGCTTTTCGCAAGGGTGTTTGCATATAAGTGAATTTAACAAACCCAACTCGATTTGGAACTCGGCTTTCTGATTAACAATTTCAAGCCATTATCTGTTATGCCAACTGCAAATCCAAGCTTATAGCACCTGGTATTCCCAAGCGGCCACCCATCTAGTTATTGACCAGGCTTAACATTGCTTAACTTTGGGGTTCATACAGGAACCGGTATTTCAATGTGATGTGGCTCTTTCCCAAGGGTATTTACATGAATGTGAATGTAATAAAACTCAACTCAGTTTTCTGATTTCTCAGCTGCTATCGATTACACCATCTACACATCTGCAAAAGTAATACCTCCTATTTAATGTCCTGGGTATGATGATAAAATACATCCAACAGCAAGGCCTCAAATCAGGAGGTTTTGAGGAGTGTCAAATTGCTGGTGTCCCCAGGTTCACCCTGACCTGAGGTGGTAGCATCTGTTAGGGTCCCAGATGGGCAAATAGTTAACTCCAAACTGGAGTCAAAACACTATGAAAGTGTAAAAGTAGGTTTTAATACCAGAAACACTTTGTAAAAAAATTACAAAAAAAAAAGCAATAAATTTAAAAAAAAAAAAAAATATTACCAGAAATACATTTATATATATTATTGCTAGCAATAATAATTTTTTTTTTTTTTTTTTTTTTTAAATGTTTTTGTTGCTAATCAAGCAATGGATATGCACTACAGTGTATATTGAAGCAGTACCTACATCTGTTAAGAGATGGAACCACCATAGCCTCTTATTTTATTGACAAAAATGACACTTTCCTAATTATTGCAATAATCTAACTGTGGAGGCACAGAAGAGTAACACATTGCATGGTAAGTACGTTTATTGATAGATGGAACCACTATAGCTTTTTTTCATTCACTACAGAGTGTTTTTGCCTTCAAGAGTATGTCAGTAATGAGACAACAAAATTTATGAAAATATACTCACAATTTTGAGAATTTTAAGAAAAATGCCCAAATTTTTGTCTTGAGGAGTGACTGGGTAGTTTCAAATGCTGATTTTATTTTTTTACTTTATGGAAACAAATGAATGAGTACCTAAAATAAACTTTTTCTATCTTGTATAACAAGTTTCTAAAGCTTGCCTATTTCTTGGAAATATTGCTTGAATTCTGCGCTTGTTCTTATTGGAGCAATCTTAAGAATGACATTAATAATATGCATTTTTCTTTATTTTCTTTATTTTCTTTATTTTTCTTTATTTTCTTTATTTTTTTTTTATTTTCATTTTAAGACGAGCAGTTTCTTGTGTTGCTCATGACAGAATAAATTTTGAATCTGTTAATAATATACAGAAAATCTGCCCTGCAAGAAATAAACTTTACCCTAAATATTTTCTGAAATTTTTGGTTTGTGCACTTTTTGACCTTCTCATTGGCTGAAATTCCAAGATGAATCATTATTGTTATTTCACACCTTTTTCAAAGCAATACAAGGAATGCTGAAATTTACTCGGCATAACAAAGAAGAGATTCAAAAAGAAATTTGATGATTGGTCATTTGGGCAGAAATTTTAATTAATTAAATTATAAAATAACATTAATTAATTAATCTTAATTAAAATTTCTGCCCAAATGACCAATCATCAAATTTCTTTTTGAATCTCTTTGTTATGCCAAATAATTTTCAGCACTTCTTGTATTGTATTCTTTGAGGCCCTCCTTCCAAAATCAACAAGAATTAGGATACTAGTGGGAAAATTAATATAATAATTAACATGTTCTTTTTCAAATTTTCAAAATAGCTATTTCTTCCATGGAATATTTTGGCCAAAGTATTCATCTTTTCTCATTGCTATTATTCTAGGAGGCATAGTGGAGTGATGGGTAGCAGCTTGGATTGAGGAATTGGAGAGCCGAGTTCGAATTCTAGTCGAATCCATTACATTCACTTACGTGCTTGTCGAAGTGAACTCCTCCTTAATTGTCCAAATTATTCACTAGGGGATGCTCTCCCTACACTATAAATACTGGGCATTTTCTTGCCTCATCCTCTTTTTACTTTGCATTTCAGCAGACACATTTAAAAAATGTGACCTCTTGCAAAGATGTGGGAAAACACCATGAAACACACACATACACATACATACGAACATTCATCAAAATATGAACTCTTTACGTTCATGCACAAACACAAATGTTGATGTCTTTGTCTATTGTAAATTTTATTGTTTAATACATATACTTGTTTGTATATCAGTCTTGTTTGTTTCCTTTACATTTTTGGTTGGACTCAACTTGAGTCCGCCATATTCTTGTAGTGGACTTTTTTAATATTCTATCAGGCGTTACGCATGTAATTTAACAATACATAAATCCACGGTCCGCTACATGCTAATACTCTTGGGAAAGGTATGAATCCTCTTCTTCTCCCCCTAACTATGGGTAAATAGCAGGACAGACTGGGTTCTATAGCCTTAGATGGCAACTGGTCTACTGCAGAAAGAAATGGAAACCTACTGCCGGGAAAAAAATCTGCCTCGTCAGTCAAGTATTGAAAGATACGTGATCGCCAAAGCATTTATCATGCATGGCTCATAACTGACTGAATATACTAGGAATTATTTAGACTAATATCCTCATCTTTATTGTTTTTAATCACTACATTTTGGTTAATGGGTTTGTCCTGATTGTTTTGAATTCTAAGAAGACTCATAGTCAGCATTTCAAGAGTTAGACTCAAGCACACATGGCACAGTAGATAAAGGCATTAGTTAGATCCAGTGACAGGACCCAAAGAGTGTGAGTTCAATACCTAGTGAAGACTGTGGAGGACTTGGAGAGGGGATTTAACAGGAGATAAATGATAACTGACATCCATTAGACATGGCATGGGGAACTAGAACAGTCTACTCTAGCCAGCGAAATAAAGGGTTCAGTTTGACATTCCAACCACCTGAAGAAGACCGGAGCATACAACAGCCAAAACTTTGTAATAAATATGGTAACAAACATGAGGACAATAGTCCGAATAATGTAAATAGTGTACATAATACTTCATCTCGGAAATATTGACAGATACTCATCGTCTTTGTTGGGCATTTTCATAAACCATTATGACCCATGGGCAAAATAGGCAAGATAAATTGAGTATTTTATTTAATTTTTTATTGAATTTTCTTCAAATTACATGGCAATATGAGAAATAGTTTCAAAAATGTATTTTCATGATAAATTTGGATCCAAACATTAAATGGGCCCATTTATAGACAAAACCTTACCCAGATCATTAAAGTGAGCTATATGAGACCAAACAATTAATTTTTGATTATACTTACATGGAACAAAAGTATAAATTAAAATGTTTTTGCAATAATATAACATTTTAGAAAGTGTAACTTTTATCATGAAAGTGAAAGAATTGGCTGTAAATTGGTGTCCAATTTACAATGCATACCTAATATGAAACTGAACTATGTTCTGTGTTCTGTGTTTCATTCTCTAGAACTTCATTAGACAAAACCTGTTATACAGAATTTTTCCACTTTGACATTAGTTTGCCTAATTATTTTCTGATATATTTAGATATCCTATTCTTTCCCTTTTTCTTGTCTATCTCTGCTCAGCCTACACTGTGATATTTGTTAAGCATGTCATAACATGGTTGGCCAATTGAATGGCAAACACATCAAAAGAGAATGAGTTTTTGCACAGCATTATTTAACCCTCCTTTAACATTTATATTATCAATACCTATACCTATGAGTTTATCTAGCTTGTGGTTTTTAGAATTTAGTTCACCATTTTCTACTAGACTAAATATTTTCATGGCAATTGTTCTGATGAGCTTTCCTCCTTGGTGCCTTGACTGTGTGAATTTAAGTGAACTACTAGATTGGCAATTAGGTCTCACCATTTTATTATTGAACTATCTAAATGCAGCCACCTATCTAATAGTTTTTTATTTTCTCTGGAACTCCATCTGGATTTCTTACTTTACTGTTACCTACAATCTTCAAAAACATTGAATACAATGCCAATTACCATCTTATGTCTTCCTGAACCTGTTCTTTTATTGTCCTTTCTTCTCACTAAAGTCTTGTCATTCTCTTTCACTTCCTGTAACCTCTTGCATCCTTGTGGCATTATCATCTTGCTTTGGGTGAAATGATTAAAAACAAATACTGCTTTCATTAGAAAAAGAAATGTCATTTGAAACCTTATTTCCTTGCATTATTTACATTATTCAGACTGTTATCCTCATCTTAATTGCTGTATTCACAATGTTTTGGCCATTGTATGCCTTCTTCAGGTGATTGGAATTTTGAACAGAATGCTTTATTTTGTCCACCGGGGTAGATTGTTCTAGTTCCCCGTGCCATGCCTCTTCCGGACGTCTCAGTTATTTCAACTCTCCACTTGAATTTTGGTTCACCACTTGTCCTGATGTTATATGGACCACAGATCCTTTGTATTTCTCCGATAATCCCTTCACGTAGGTTAGGCAGACCCTGTTTTCTGAGTGTTGTTATCCTCTTGTACCCTTCTATCCCAGTTTGTTGGAACTGCTGCCGTGTACCCAGGATAGTTGCTACATTGTAGGGTATTGCTTATACTGACCATTTCTTCTTCATATACTTCTGGGTTGCCACTTTTGCTTGATGTTGTAAGCAGTGGATGATCCCTTTCTTTATACTGTATGGATGGTGGGAGTTGAAATTGGTGGATTGTCCAGTGAATGTTAGCTTGCAGTATATGGATGTCTTGAAGGATTGAGTTTACAATGGCTGAAACCTGAATATGGCAATGAAGATAAGGATAACAATCTGAATAATGTAAATAATGCAAGTAAGCATAATACCTCATCTCGGAGATATAGACAAAATATATTTCCTTATTCCAATCTCTGGTCCAGAGTTTGTGCCCTCCTAAAACCAGAGTTGAATTTTCCAAATGATGTTTTAATTTTTCCAATTATTTATTGCCACTTTTACATTTCTCCTTATGAAACATTGATTTCAGGGTCATTACCCTGTTACAACAGGTATATAGAAAGATTAAGAATAATGCACACAATAGTCTGATCTTTGATTTTAGGCAAATGTTCTTGTCTTTCCAGATAGAAACAGCTTGAAATTATTTCTATCCTGGAGCCCTCTTTGGCAATAATCAAGATATTTTGTCTCACTATAGCAAGTTTCAACTATCTGCAAGCTAAATCTACACATAGGACTGAACTGATAATGTATCTAGGGTAGTGGTGACACGTTTTCCCTGAGTGAAAGGGTTCCTAGACTGATGTCAACAGCTAAAGCAGATAGTTCCCCCCCCATCCCAACCACCCCCTATGGAATCAATGGCCTCATGTCCGTAACCAAGACAAGCCTCTAAGTATATCAGCTGTTGTCTGACCTGGAAAGGAATGGACTTTATAAGCTTGTAGTGGATCTAGGAAGGTTGCGTGAATATTTAAGCTTGTACTGCAAATAAAATATGCAATATCCACAAACATAAATTATAAGAAATGGCCAAATGGTAACGATATTCAATCACGACAAAAAATACATGTTTGAAACAACAGATTAAATTTTATATACATAATTTACAATTTCTTTGTTTATAATTATGTGTGCAAAGGTATAGAGAAAAGCTTCTTTGCTGTCTTGGAAATGTTCACTGTCTAAAAAGTTGTCTGCCTTTGAAAGGTTGAATTTAACTTAGACAAAAGATTTTTTTTATGAAAGATATTAAATGAAAAAGTTTGTATGAATTTTTCTAATCTCTCATAAAGAAAGTTTGTTTCTTTGGCAGCAATTTTGGCACATAATTCCTGTGTGTATCTTTGCATGTGTTTGTCTCAAAATGCAACGAAATTTTTAACAATAAAATCAGCTCCAGCGGCTTGTTGAAAATTTTTCTGAGAAATGCGTCGGTGAATGTTGTATTTTTTTTATTTTTTAGCTAATAGGATTTCTTGAAAAATTTAAATTAGGGATGAATTTGAGAAAGATTTTTTTTATGTCAGTTAAGCCTATTTTTGCACAAATTTTGACTGTTTTGTTATGGAAATTTCTCAAAGCTTATTTTTATTTAACAACCAATGAAATTCAAGAATATGTTTGAAAATTGAAAAGAGGGTTACTAAAAGCTCTATTTTGTCCAAGACACATTACACAGGAATGGATAAATTGTAAAGTGGATTTACTTAATGTTTAAGAGAAGTTACTTTCTATTGTAATTTACTTACACTTTCAATTCTTTGACAATTAGCAAAAATGAAAGATTAGAAATAAAAACTAAGCTTCTAAACTCTCATTCCTTTTACCTTTTGATTGAAAGCCACTCTTGTCATGACAGCTGCTTCATCATATGAGCTAAGAAAACAATTGGTAAAGATCAGATCTAAACATGTGGCCTTATAATTTTCCTTGAATACACTGTGCTGCCATCTTTACTGTTCTACATGCACAAATAGCATTTAATAATAGTATTATCTTGAATTATTAATTGAGAGAACTGCACACTAACAAAGTAATACTTTGATACAAATATACAAAGCTCAGTATACCTATCCTGACATTGAGTCTGGCAAGTGTATGCCAGAGGCATACATCACATGTATGCAATATGTAGGCTGATTTTGATAAAAACAGTGCAAAATCTTACAGGTGGGGCCCAGTAAGAAATACCTTCAGTTTAAGTAACCCAATCTACTCAATCTCCAATTGAGTGTTCGCAAGCATCGAGATGTAAATCCTCTCCAGTCTTTTGAACAGGAGTTTTATCCTTTATTTCCTGTTTAGGATTAGGTTTCCACTTCCTTTGTAAGTATTCTCATTCTCTTTCACTCTCAGTAGCCCCTAGCATTTTAGTGGCATTATTACCTTGCTTGGAGTGAGTTGATTAAAAAAAAAATGCTCACAAGTCATCTTGGCTGTATCATCCTTCATGATGTCATCCTCTACATTTGGCCACAATACTTCCCAACCATTTCATGTCATAAGCAGAAATGCACAATGTTTCAGCCTCTAGAGGACATACCCAGCTAGTTATGGTCAAGATATAGTAATGAACAGGATATTTACTGTAACTCATTTTAGTTCACTAAAATCTGTGCATGTTAACACCTTCAATCAATTAAGATCAGAAATCATGGAAACCATACCTGTTGAAGCATTATGCCATTTATTATTATTATTATGCCAAGATTGTGTGTGAGATGTATAAGATATATAATAATATAGAGATTTTCCAAGCTATGCTTGGGATGTGGCACAAGGCCAAAAGTAAGGGGCACCCAGTGAGGATTGAACTCACTACACAGCCATAATTGTTCTATCGAGACAAGCTTGCTAACCATTACATCACCTCGTGGTGCCTAAGATATATAATAAGATATATAAGTAAACAAATATATTTATACATAGATGTTCAATTCTCTCTCTGATCAAAATAAGCCAAAGATCAGTCTGTCACTCACCCAGCACCTCTACTTAGTAGTCTTTGTATAATCTATGAAATGTATTTGGCATCCAAATAAAATGTCAACAGAGTGCATTATATATCATTGAAGAACACTTATTGATTTGTGACTTGTATTCCTTTTACCTTAATTTGAATTACTTTTCTTCACAACTAGATTGTCGTTTCGCAACTATAAGTAAACAAGCATTATCTGGAATTTTTATTAGAGGAAGCATTGTTAATCCTTATTAATTTTTGACTAGTATTTTTTTCCTCTTAAGTTTAGCTACTTTTTATTGTAACCAATATTCTATGGCTATCAATCAATTAAGTGCCATATGTGATACATGCTTGGGCAATCATAGTTTTTTTTATTCATAACTGACCAGGCAGTTATGAATTAAAAGACATGATTGCAGTAAGCTGCCATTTTTTTTTTTTTTTTTTTTAGAGATAGACTGGTTGCCAACCAAGGCTATAGGAATATAAAAGTTAGCTCTCCAATTTCTTGTTCTGAACTGTTATCCATTATGCCGCACCACTATTATTAGTAAATAAGCCATAATATTATTTTGAATATTTATTAGATGAAGTATTGTCAACCATTACTTATTTTTATTAGTATTTCTTTTATTTTAATTTTAGTTGCTTTTCATTACAGCTATTCTGACAATTGCTCTACAGCTATTAATAAATGAGTAGTAATATTATCTGGAATATTTATTAGATGAAGCATTGTCAACATTTATTAAATTGTGACTGGTATTTCTTTAACTTTGCAATATCTTTTCATTGAAATTATTTATCCCTTGTTTCATGTTTAGGATTGGGTTTCCAGTTCCTTTTTCTAAGGTATTCTGATTCTCTTTCATTCCTAGTAACCACTTGTATCTTAGTGTCTTTATTGTCTTGCTTGGGGTGAAATGATTAAAAAAAAAAAAAAACATCCTTCTACATAAGTTAGGAAACTGGTTTGATTTGGAAATAAAAAAAAAAAAAAGTAAATTCTAGCAAGACTTGAACTTTCATCCTTTATTCTTTAGTAAGCCTCTTTTAGCTTTTAAAGTGAATTAGCTTGAATTTTTCTATATCTCACCAGTAGTTCTGCAGTACCCCTTCTCAGATACTCGCGCCAGGTAGAATGCTTAAAATGTTAAAATTACACTGGTAAATGGAGCAGAGTTCATATCTTGTGTTTAGATGTTGCTGCATCATTTTATCCTCAGCAACTACAAATGTACTGTAGAAGAGGCAGAAAATCAATGGTGACCATGTCGGGCTATTGAAACTTCCAGATATTAACATTGTTTGATGCAAATATTGTAATTGCAAGTAAATAATCTATTCGGAAACAGGCAGGAAGTAGTCACCATATTTGAGTAAATGCATTCTCAGTCTAAATTTTTTTTTTTTTTTCTTATTTTAGTTTAATTACTGCTTAATTTGATTATCCTAATACATTTGTTAACAATCGTTGCAATCTGACATAAGCCTAATCTTCCTCTTAACTTGTGTTTATTATATTAATCTGATTATCTTTCAATTATCACACCAGTAATCCACTCATACTTTTTTCAAATTGGCCAATTGTGTACATATTGGACAAAATTGGGTTGGTTTTTAAGTTTGACAATAAAAACCTTAATTTTAACTTTGGTTCTTCAGTCCACTTTTCACATAAATGTAATAATCTAACATCCACACTCCCCTCTCAAATAATTTGTATTTCTGATCTGGAATGCTTAATTATCTCAAAATATATCGTCATATGAAAAGGAAATTGAAAAAAAAAAATGATGGTAGTGTCTATTGTACAATTCCAGCCATCTGTGAAATGGTTCTACACAGATGATACAGTTATTTCAGAGATGCAAGAATTACTTCAATTGTATGATACCATATTCTTCAAGAACATATGAGACTTGATGATCATCATCATATTAGAATAGTACTGCTTGTTAGATATGCACAATGTTTTATTTGTATACTAATAAACATGTTAGATTAGTAAATGTTTGTACCTTGTTTTTCAAACATCTCTTGTATATATCCTTTTTTTTGGGGGGGTGGATGGTCTTTATGGGCTGACACATCCCCATGAGCAGCCCAGTTAAATATCCTTGGAAAATGGGTGGTTTTTATCAATTCAATATCATTAGAATGATTACTAGTCAAGTCTATAAAAGTTAGCCTGTTTTATTTAGCCCATAGCTGGGGAGAGAAGAAATGGCTTTACACCTTTCCCAATGATATTTGCACGTAAGTGAATGTAATGAACACTACTGAAATGCACTTGGCACTCAGAGACGCTAACTCTTACACCTCCTGCAAATCCTTTGATCTCTTTCGCTCTCCCTCTCGCTGGTCTCTTTTTGGCTCTCGCTCTCTCACTGGTCTCTTTTTGGCTCGCTTTTGGTCTCTCTCTCTCTCTCTCTACCTTTTGGTCTCTCTCTCTCTCTCTCTCTCTCTCTACCTTTTGGTCTCTCTCTCTCTCTCTCTACCTTTTGGTCTCTCTCTCTCTCTCTCTACCTTTTGGTCTCTCTCTCTCTCTCTCTCTACCTTTTGGTCTCTCTCTCTCTCTACCTTTTGGTCTCTCTCTCTCTCTCTCTCTCTCCTTTTGGTCTCTCTCTCTCTCTACCTTTTGGTCTCTCTCTCTCTCTCTCTACCTTTTGGTCTCTCTCTCTCTCTCTCTCTTTTGGTCTCTCCTTTTGGTCTCTCTCTCTCTACCTTTTGGTCTCTCTCTCTCTCTCTCTACCTTTTGGTCTCTTTGTCCCAAAATATTGAGTCCATTTGTGTCTCACCCCCCAATCCCCCCCAAAAAAAACATCCCACTCTCCATGACTGGTGTAGCTAAGAAAGCCATTTTTGTCTCTGGTTCATTGACTCACACTTATGACCTTAGCTATTAGTATTATTTTTTGAAATGCCAAGGGTGTGACTAGCTTTCTTTTCATATCTATCTCTCTTGCAATGGTCTATAACCCACACCCACACCCACACAACCATAAGAAATTGTTAGCTCTGCTTTAGTCTAGTCACTTGACAGGTAACCTGTCTTACCTGTTCAAAGTTACTTTAACTCCTACCTTGTCTGTCTGAACTACTTTTCTTTTCAAAATGGTGCGTACACAGCTTTTGTTTTTTATCTTGGCCTGTTATAGTTTATATATTTAGATTTGGGATAATATTTTTGTCTTTTTGTTATTTGTTTTTGATTTAATTTTTATTTGCACATTTTTAGGAATTTTTTCATTTTTCTGAAAATTTTTTCCTTTCACAATAAACGTTATCTCAGTACTGGCTTGTGTCTCTTGTCCCAATTTCAGTTTTACCTTTTGTTTCTCTTATTTTAGAATAAAAACTGATTATATTAAATGTCCAGAATCAGGGCTTTGTAATTTTCTTGTTCAGTTTTATTATAATTATCTGTGTCTTTCCCTACTCTGACACACTCTGCACTAAAACTACACCCTTAAAAATAATGTATTGCTAAATAAGATAGAAAAGAATTTAGAAAATTATTTGATTGATTTTTTAATAATAAAAAAAAAACTGGCTTACTTAACTTTAAATGTATTTGGTAATTAGCTTTATTTGTTTTAATATATTTTAAATTTAAATTTCCAAACCCTGTCTGCACTAGTTTATACCTGTCATCTTCATAGTATTACAACTAGATTTAAATAAATTTACAAGGCTAATTTAAAAATTCCCCCGAAGCAGTAATCTAAAAACAAGTCTAAGAGATAATTATTTCTGTAGTGAATTCAATCCTCATTGGGTGCCCTTCTATTGTTCTCTTGTACCCTTAATTTGTTAAAATATTACTACAGTAAGAAATTTTATTCTCACTGGATGCTTTTCAGTAATGAACTTGAGCCTATAATAAGCTAAGGTTTATAAATATGACTACATAGTGTTTGATTCTCACTGAGTGTCCTAGTGGTTTTGTGTTGTACTAAGTTTAGATGTGTACCTGTAATGCTTAAGTTATTGAGTTTTGCTGTTACAATTTCAAGTAATTTATTGACTGTCCATCTTTAATATTTAACTAATGGCAAGTCACATTTTCATGATCAATCAAATAACTTCTATCAAGAAGTTTTTGGTTTTAGTTTTAATGTTTGTGAATTACAAGCACATGACCTTAACTATCAGCAATAATAGTGGTGGAAATAATCATAAAGATTACAGTAAACTTCTTGTTCATTGCTTGGCGTGTGGGGAAAAAAAATACTTGAAATGAGGTCAGATCAATTTTTAAATCATTTTAAAATAAAATGAAAATAAAATGAAACCTAATTTTGTAATTTATGAATTTCTTTTTTAGTATTAGCATTTTTACTTCAAATTTTTAAAATAAAATTTAATAGGAGTAGATAGGTTCACCTATCATCCAGTTCACACTCCACCCAGGTCTTTTGAACAGGAGTAGAGGTTTATCCCTTGATTCCGGGTTAGGATTGGGTTTCTGGTTGTATCTAAAGTCTACTCTCACACTATATTTCCAATGTCACTGACTGAACTCTGAAATGTTATTCACTAATTAAATCTTGACCTCTTCAAGTCTAGTCATTCCTTTATAGTCTTAAGAAGTTCACTTCTTTTTCCTTTCTTATACTCCTACAACACCACACAGTAGGCCTCTACCTTGAGTAGCTCTTGGGCCTTGTATTGGTTGACCATTAGTTAAAAGAAAACATTTTTTATCCTATAAAAACCAGAAAGTACACTCAAGAATTTATATTTCAGCTCTTAATTTTCGCCCTCATTGTGGCTGGCAGGGGATAGCAAAAAAAAAAAAAATTTTTTTTGACTGGAATTTTTTTTTTTATTTTATTTTTATTTTATTTTATTTTTTTACTGGAATGTTCTTTGTTTGTTCATTGGCTTTTGAAAAAAAATGATGGTTGGGACTGGAATGTCATAAAATGAAACTATTTGTCATATTATTTGAAACTTGTGTTGAAAGGTTTTATTTTTAGATTTAAAAAAGAAAGCCAGTTAGGCACAATAGAATTCAGATTTTCAAAAGAGTTTTGTTGGTTTTTTTTTTGGTTTTTTTTGGTTTTCTTTGGTTTTATTTACCACTGATAACAACTGAATGTGCTAGAATTTTCCTTTGGCATTATTCATTTACATTTTCTTATATCTTATATTTTAAATGGGGTGTTAAAACCTCCACAGTTTGTAACAATTCCCCATAGTCCTGATAGTTAAGAAACCCTTCTAGAATTATCAAAGCCCATGAACTTCAAGTTGTTAATTTTATAGAAAATTAGAAATAAGAGAATTTTGGGGATGAGCAGTTATCATTATTTATATTTAGATCAATATCCTCATCTTATGTTATTTAAAGTCAAGTAAGGCAGTTTTTTTTTTTTTTTTTTTTTTGTTTTTTTGTTTGTTTTAAAGAATCATAATGTTTCAACTTGTACCTCTGGCCTTCTTCAGCTGTTTGTCAATCTGGATGACCTTCGAAGTTTTAAGTTCAAAATTTCTGCCAGAATTTACATTAAAAGATAAAGGCCAGACAATACAACAGCTGAAATGTGATAACAACAAAAATGAGGATATTAGTCAGAATTTAATTAAAAACTACATTTTTAATTTTTACAGATTAAACCATTTTGAAAAATGTTAGTATATTTAGAAAAGTTGTTCATTTAATTTTTTTTTCCTTTTTTACTTACACAAGTTAGAAAACTCATGTGTACAAATTTAAAAAGGTTTTTCAAAATACTTTTGTAAAATATTCAATAAGAAAACTTATCCCTCTTTTTTATGTGTACAGTATATTTTTATATTAAAAAAAATCTTAGTTTATTGATAGAATTGTATTTTTAACCTTTTCTCTCACAGGACCTATGAAAATGCGTATCTGTTAACTTCATCTTATTTCAGCTGGAGATTAAATAAATAGGAATGGAATTGTTTAACAAGACTTTTATAGATTTAATATGTCGACTTTTCAGGTAATGGATGAGGAAAAAGAATTTTTTTTTTATTATAGCAGTGTTGATAGGTTTTGTTTTTTTGTTGTTTTTTTTTTTTAAGGAATTTAAAATGCTGTTCCTTTTTAAACCTTTAATAATCATTATGTGCAGAAACCTTTACATTGTGCAAATATTTTACTTATGCCAGATGCTTGTATACAAACCTGTACAGGAAGTTAACGATGTTGTTATTTGGTATTTTGATGTAGTTCTTTAGTATTTGGGCTGCAATCAAAGTGTAGTATTTGTTCTCTTCTCAACTGTATTCTTGAATGAATACCCCACCCCACAAGCAATGAGCTTGTCTTAGGGTAGAACCTCCCCAATGAATAAAAGGGGTGAATTAGAATGTTCTACATCCTTTGTGTCACTGGTTGCAAAGACTGGGTTATTTTTGTTCTTATGCGGCAGGGGTAAATGTTAAACCAACTCTCACATATTCTACTTTTCTAATCAGTAGTTAAATTTTGTTTGGTGTATAAATGTGATTTTTGAAATAAAAAAAATCTAAACCGAAATAGTTAACTAAGTGATTAGTTTCAATAAGTATAGCTATATATAACTAGCTGTACCTTGGACAACTGAAATTTTCACATCTGAATTTTCTGACTCCTCCTATTCTTAATTTAATGATTTGTGAGTTCCATGAAATATTTGAGCTTAACAACTTTTAACAAAAAATTGCAGTGACAATCATAATTATGAATGCAAGTCAGTATTTAAAGAAGTAAGAGGGTATAAATGAAAAAATTAAAAACATGATATTCTTGTATTATTTCAAACTATTGTTCTTATCTTTGTTGATGTAATAATACAAGACTATTGAACATTCTTCTTCTCAAAAATGAAATACTATAAAAATTGACAGCTTTCCTTTTCATTGAAGCAGACATTATATACATGAGCATTATTGCCTCCTCTTTCTTCCCTTTTTTTTCTAATTACATATGCTTTTTTTCTCATTAATGTCAAAGAACATCTCTAATGTTTTCCCATCTTTGCAATCAAAATGGAATAATTAATTATTTATCTGAGGTAATGGCAACACATAACACATGTACTAACAAACTTACTAACAGAATAAGAAAATATTATGATTATTTTTATTATTATTATTATGAATTACAACATTATTTCAATTAACTAAACTTTTGTTGTGGGTGGGGGTATAACAGTTATTTGTGTGGAAGTGATGAGCTGAGTTCAAAGGCTTAGTCTGCTGCCTTCACTTTCCAGAAGTGCTATTGGCTCTTTAGATTTGGATAGCCGCCAGTCAAAAAAGACTAGTCTGAATTCTAAATCAGTTAGATGGCAATGGAAAATCACTCCACTGTTTCCCAATAAATTATGTCAATTCACAGATAATCAAGAAATGTCCCATGGGACAAAAGACTTGTGGATTGAAGCATTGTTTTGTGAATTTGGTGACATTGTGGGTATGAGTTCAATCTCTGGGCTGGGTAGTGTGTATTTAGACTTGGTTCTTCTTCTCCCCTCAGCTATGGGTAAATAGCAGGACAGACCAGGTTCTATATCCTTGGATAGCAACTGGTCTTCCGCAGAAAGAAATGGCAACCTACTGTGGGGAAAAAATCATGGAATAATGAGATTTGATTAGAAAAAAAAAAAAACATTAAATGTCATCTCGCACATTTATAAATCTAGCCTTCATCCATGCATTGAATATTGTTTACCATATCTGGTCTGGTACTCCTGCTATATATTTTAGATTCTTGATAAAATTCAAAGAAAAAATCTGTCTATAGTGACATAGATCCTGATCTGGCATCTATATGTCAGTTACTTTCCCCACTGATGATGTGTAAAAGGTATGAATCTTCTTGAATTTTCCGGAATG